TATAGAAAAGATAAAATAAAATTAAATACTTGTAAGTTAATTTTATTTTAAAGAAAATGAATCGTGTAACTTTTACAAACTGCTTCTTAAAGGCGAGTCTAATATCATCGCACTTCAGATAAGTAACAGATAAGTAAAGGGAATTAAATTACAGTTAATAAACTTATATATATTCAATTAAAAGAGAAATAGATTTATCGATTTATTGATACATGGTTCGTGTCATATTAGCCTGCATCGCGGCATGGAGAGCAAAATGATAGACACGATCGATATCGCATGTACCATGTAAAGGGTTGAGAAAACAAGAATGTATTATTAAGCATTACTGTTACTGACATTTTATAATGCAATAATTTAGAACACGAAAATTACAAATTAATTTAATACTATATTTAATACTAACAATACAATTTAAAGTTAAATATAAAAGTACATAACCAAATAAAAATATATGCGCAATAAAAATATAAAATATGAAATATTTAAATAAAGTAGAATGTAGGTAGAAAATAATATAATGAATAATGCAATAGGATGAAATACAATATTTAATTTCTGACAGAAATAAATTTTAATTTATATATTTTGTTATCATGGTTTAAGATGCTTCATAATAATTAAAAAAAACTGAATAACTGCGCATTTTTTTATTTTGCATTTGTGCTCGCAGATATACCGCGTGTGGCAGCACCGACTGGAAGAATTGTTGTTATATTTTTTGTTTTTAGATTTGCAAATAAATAAAAATTGCTATAAATATCCATAACAATTTTAATGCAACAATTACAGTGAATCTCATTACAGCAATAATATTCTAGATATAGAAATTTTATTGTGATCAAAATTAAAATTAGATTAGATTAATGCAACAATTACAGTGACTCTTATTACAGCAATAATATTCTAGATATAGAAATTTTATTGTGAAATTAAAATTAAAATTAGATTAGTCAAAATTAAAATTAGATTAAAGAGCGTTGCAGCTAACAGATTAAAATCTAGACCTAAATGTCTATTTTAATTACGATGAAAATTAAAATCTCGTATATGTTCTTTGACATTTTGCAATTTCGAGTAAATGTAAATTTGAATTTGGCCTTAGATGAACAGATGTAGATCATTTCTTCTTAAATTGAGATAAAAAATTTTGTTAGACGTAGTTCAAATTTATATTAATTTCCAGGAAGACTGATCTAAAACTGCACAATTCCCCTTTTTTCGGCTATTGTTTATCGACCGAGAGAACTGCGAGTATTTCCCTTTGCTGTGGACCGCCAGCATGGCAGTAGTGGCGCTGCGGATCAATCGGACCAGCCGGAACCACCCGGGTACGGTACCGTCTTTACTGTGTTTCCACCTGTTATTTTTCGCGTACAGAGAATTCTAAGCGCTCGCGCGATTAGTCACTCGCATGTACCTGCTCTCCTCGAGCGACGTGAGCCAAAAATCGGTGTAATAAGAGGACCGAGATCGCGGGTCGCGATGGAACGCGGTCGGGGAGAGAACGAATCCATGGGGATGGGGTGGCGGCGGTACTGCCGATGCACCGCTCAACCCTTGTCCGAAGCGGTCGTCTGTTAGCTACCGTCGTGCGATTCTATCGGTCATCGATGTTCTTTTTATTTTCCGGCTTTAACCATCATATTTTTCACCTGCCGATCGTGTAATTATAGCATGAATCAGTCTTCCAATTTGATTTATGTTATTATATACACCATGATCGTAGTCGCATGTGTAGACTCATGTATGATACGAGATATTTACCCGCATGATGTTTTTACTATAAAATCTAACTAATTGTAAATGTGATATATTTTAATCGATCAGTCTTGATTACATTTGCAATATTTGCTTTTCTTGACATCATTTTGTATGCACGTTGTAATGATTTATTACAATGCCATACAATGAATTAACTTGGACAAACAAGCCAAGATCAAATAACGCATTTTGTTTAAATGTTTGTATTATCAAGCATAGCAAATGATTCTTATAATGAAAAAAATTTTATCGAAATTTTAAGATATTAAGATTTAGAGAATACAGTTAGCTTATCGTAATCGTGTCAACTAATTTTTCATAAGATATCACAAAGATTTTAATTAATCGCTTATAACTTCAAAGCATTTGAAATTTTTATTTTATATTTCTAAAAATATATTATCCCATGATCATCTTGAACTAACGCCATCTCAAAAAAACAAATAACGGACCAATAAAGAGAGAGGAGTAAATCAATATCTACTTCCAGTAAATAACATACGAGAATTTCATAGGACGAAATTCTTCTTTTGAAAATAGGACATTCCCTTCTTTAATCTTTTTTTTTATCTTATCGACACCGATTTTGGTTCTCCGTTCACTTTTCATTTATTTTTTATACATAAATATTTATATATACATATGTGATTCAAATTTATAAACTCACGTAAATTAAATATATAAAAATATGTAATATATATTTTATCTAAAAATATATTTCTATTTTAATATATTTTGCAAGAACTTTCATAATGTGTTCTTTCACTTCTAACATTATCACTCTAAATCTACGGTGAATAAGCAATAAAATTTAGTTCCTATACATCTTTGTTTTTATTTTTAAGCATCGCAGATATCTAAATTGGTTGTATCAAAAGAAAAAATTCATTAAGAAAATTCTAGCAGAATAGAAATAGAAATTCAAATAGAAATTCTACTTTAAAATAACATTTGCGATTTTTAGAACAAATTTGTAAGATTATATTAAAAACTCTTTTTTTCGATTATCAATAAATAAGTATCTATATATCTAGAAATGGATTATGTCAAAAACAAAACTTTTCCTTGCCTAAATTTATTATTTTTATCTCATTATAATTTTGTCTTTTTGATATCGCGTTTACTTAACAAAATATTAGATTATAAATTAAATAATAATTATATTTATTTAATCGTAATTATTTGCTTAATGCGATTGCTTTTCCCATTAAGATTTTAACCAAAAAGGACAACCTTGATGAAGCTCTACGACCCACTTTATCATTCCCAGTTCAATATTGCACAATGCATTGACAATTTATGCACAACAAATGTTTGACGAAGGGACGTGAAACTCCGTTCTCACTTGGTTTCAACGTCGCACGTGCCTCATTCAAGAAACTCTTTTTCAACGCAATAAACATAAATCAAAGATACATTTCAATTATTCTCTCAAAAATCATTTTTTATCTTTATCACTTATGATTCTTTAAATTTCTTACTAAGATTACCTGATGTAATATTTTTGTGTAGAAAGAAAGAGAGAATTTAGCTTTCAATCCTTGACAATTTTCCTTCTTGACCGCATTTCGTATGCTTCGACTGCATTTTCGTATGCTATATTACTTATGCTATAACTCAAACTCTATAAAAATAATAATTATTTTAATTTAACATTTATTAAATTTTTTATTTAATTAATGTAGAATTATTGATTCATATATATTATACATTGCATGCATATTACGAAATTCGCTCCGAAATTTAAATATTTAAATATTTTTTGGTACTCATTATAATTTACAAAACTATCTGTTATTATATTATAAATATAAAGGTGTTTAATATATTTATATAGTAAAAATCCATTCAATTTAATAATTTTTTTTATTGCCTCTTTATTTCATAAAATAAATGAAATTGAATATGGATTTCAATTTCTGTCGAAATAACAAATGAATATAGATGTCACGACGTATTATCGTCATGTGAGGATATATGACGAAATCTTCAATTGACAAAATAATTTTTTGCAATCTTATATTATTTACAACGTATGTAATTGTATACATTATAATTGTATACAATTGCTTTAGAATTGAAAATCTTATTTGATTTTATTAATTACATACGAGTCTACAGACTTACGTAGAAATTTAAACAGATAGAAATTATATTGAATTGATTTTTTATGCCTTTCTTATCAACAATTGCATATTGTCCGGAATATATATTTATAAAGTTCTAACTTTCTTATACTCTCAAATAACTTTAATTATAAAAATATTTAGACATGGAATTGTAATAATTTAAGGCTCGTGGATACTCAGCTAAGAACGTCGCGTTAATGATAACGTCAGTAAAAATAAGAAGTTCATTCATCCTTGTTCATCTTTATACAAGTGATGTGTTGACAACAAAATTATTTATTGCACCTCATTTCGTTGTTATGTGCTTAATTATACAGATGTGTGTACTTGTTTCGTACTCACCAAATTCGTAAAAATGGACGGCAGCCAAAGTTATCTTTGAATTTTATATATAAAAGCATATTTTTTATTTTTTTCAACAGCTGTCAAATCATGTATTTTCTGAACAAGTTTTATTTCACGTGCCTTTCACGTGCCTTTTACGACTATTTATTAACTATCAGGGAGGGAAAGCAATCGTCTATTTTCACAAGTGTCTCAAAGTCATCTCAAGTATCATTTTGGTCAAATAATTCTTTATTTGCAAATTGGATGCAATAAATTTTACTGTGTCATTTCTCGCCTATGACATCACAATTTCATTATGGCCGCGGTGACTATCCAGGAGCCTCAGGTAATCTCTTTTATTATATCGAATAAAATCCTCTATACGAAATATACGCCAATAATTTAGGTTAATATGCGATTTCTTCGTATCTATGTTTAGTTTCTATACATTTTTTGAAAGAAATAATCTATAAATAATCTTGTAGAAAGGAATTTCAATGAATACCTTTATAAAAAATTGAAG